AAAAAAAAAAAAAAAAAAAAAAACGCGTATCTTTGGAAACTGCAAGTTCATACCCCTTCTGATACTTGAAAATATAACAGAAACATATGCCAATGGGGTATTTGTAATTTTGAAAATATTGAGGTTTTATCTATTAGAAAGAAACTTTCACAAACCACTAGTAAAATTTGAAATCGTTCCTTTTCGTTCTAGATTACACCAATTAGGAAACAGATAATCGAGTTGGTGAATAAACATACTCTCTTGGAGAAGAACGAGGAACCAAATCCTTGTCGGAGAATGCCTGAAGCATAGCCTATTAAGATAGCCCCAGCAACCATAAGAAGATCTGCATAAAAGATGGATATATTTTATGCAGTCAAGTGATTGCAAGTTTATTATTTATTCGAATACGGATGCAAAATTACTATATCGCAGACTTGAGAAGTAGTTGGTTCTAGTCATTTACGAAGCAATCAAAGCCTCGATCTACTTCTACTATTTTTGAACACCTCATGTTTGGCTTTTGTTTGGATATCTTTTTTCTTTATATAAGCACAATATACAAGTACAAGCACCTTCAAACGACTAGCTAAACATCCTTTGATTTCTTCTTTTCGTTTTAACAGTCCAAGTGATTTAGAAATTTATCATTAATCAACAGAAAAGTAGTGCACATGCAATTGCCACTGTAAGCAGAAAGCACAGTTGATTGCTGATAAAAGTTAAAATTTTACAATATAGCAGGAAAATGCAACAAGAATGCTGAACTTGAAAGGACCTGTATAATCACAAAAGGTTTAAGAGATAAAGCCACAAACCAGTAGGCGAAACAGAGCTGTTCTCATAACCACAATCCTCTTTACTTAGAGAAATTTGACGTAGGGCCGCATTGCCCCTATCGATAACTAACAAAGAACATGTGGACCTCACATATATCACATCAAAATCGTTCGAGAATTTTGCATCTTCGCTCGGCCCATCTCTATATCCAGCAACGTTTGACTTTCCACCAGCAATAGTTGTCACGCCTGCAATTAATTTTTCCGGTTACTAAAATTATTAAGCTTAGAATCTAGAAACTCCCCAGTATGGCAGATATACACAACACATTCCATAAGGTTTATCCTAATTATGAAAAGGCCACCATATTATCATTCAAGACTTACAAATACCCATCCACAGTTTGTATTTACCTAAAAAAACCCTGAGTGTAGTTTGCAGAATAGAAGCAAATGCCAAAGGGGTACTCTTAATACTGAAAGATATCTGGGATTTTCTTGTAATTAGAGTATTAGACTATACCTCAAGGGTAGTTTCTGAAATTAACTCTTTATAAATACAAATATCTAATAATAATGGATCACATTGCAAACCTGCTTCCCCAATCTTTCTAATGGCAAGATTTGAGATGTCAGCAACATAGACATTCCCCCTATCATCCATGGTGACCCCCTTGGGATGATTAAAACGAGCATCACTCGGTTTTCCATCCACGTGGCCAGTGTAGCCCTGAAATGACCCAGCTACCAATCTTGCCCTGCTATCTGCAAAAAGTTGCAATTTGGCCCATAAGCCACGAAGCCATGTTTCAGTTAAGTCGCACAAATCTAAGACAACCATTAGCTTCTAACTGCATACTCAAATATTAATAGAGACACATCATCTAGACACTAAACATGTGCAGAATTAAATTTACAGCAATTTCACAAGTCACGTGAGTCAAGTAGCAGTGGCCCATGAGTCATTCAATCTTTTTTACGAAATCATTTATCCAATTTTTATCTACTTCACAATCCTCTGGCAATATATAACATGGCTACTTCTCGAAAAGAAAAAAAAAATAGAAATTCAAAAAGCTTACATTGCGAAAGTGGGGGTGTAATTCGAACAATTTTGCTATTAATAGCATCAACAGCAAAAAGTTCTCCATCATGCGAGACACGGATTGAATATGGCTCGATTCCAAGTTCACTCCCTTCAACAACAGTCTCAACTAGATATCCCTCTTCAAATTGGAGCACATTCCCATCTGCATAAGGTGTAACCAATAAATAAACCACACAAAGCCGGATGCTGAAAAAACGGGAACCCAAATACGCTCGTTTCGGAAACAAGTTTTTAAAACTTCCCAGCTTGAGCTCCATCTTACCCAACTACAACAAAAAATTGTTTTATCCCAGCAGAGTACATAATAAGAAGCAGAAATGTCAAAAACTTGCTAAGCCTATGTTTGGTAAAATAAGCTAGCTGATAGCTTATCAGTAATTTTTGAGTTTATGACTTATAGTTGAAAAACTAGCTTATATGATAAAAGAGTTTGGTAAAATTAGCTGATAAACTAGCTGGAATAAATAATTCAACTAAGCTTATTTGAAAAGCAACCTAAAAAGCTTATCAAATAAGCTCGAAAAGCTCGCCCTACCAAACAAGGCTTATATGAATACAAAGAGCTTATAAGCTAACAAAATAAGCTATAAACTAGTTTATTTGTCTACCAAACATAGCCTAACTTATTTTTCCCCGCACAAACACACACACACACACAGAGAAGGAAAGACATATCAGTAAACCAACATCTAAAAGGTAATTAGAAATGAAATTCAGCAATGCAAGTTCTACCTGACTGATGGGGTGTTTTGGAGGAGGACCTAGTCCATTTCATAAAGGAGGACAAGTGCTTTATCAACGGCCCTGAATTTCATTTACACAATTCAATTAATATAACAAAATAAACAGATTCAACGAGTCGAGTGGATAAACATCCACCAAAAGTAAAAGATAACGAAGCAAACCCATTTGCAGAGGCAGCTCAAACAATCAGGCATTGCAGAAAATCTAAGCTAAATTACAGCTGCAAAGAACAAATTAAAACAAGAAAAGAGCAAAAAGAGTAGTGAATTACCAGCAGGCGCAGCTTGAGCTTGAAAATTAAGCACAAAGTAGTTTAAGGGGACCAGCAGAACGAGAAAGAAGACATCGGACCTCATCGCCTTTTTCTCCCAAAAAAAGCTTAAAAAAAAAAACGCAGAGAAAGAGCTCTTTTGGTGTGTGTCTGTGTGTGAGTGTGTGCGGATCAGTAAAACAAAAATAAAGTCAAGGGCTCGTGAGGAAGACGAAGTTGTTTCGTACAGATTGAACATGAAAAGTGAAGTGGGAAAGCCATGGATGGATTCAAGCACGGGTTCATTGAAATTGGCTTTTCAAATCAAGGGAGTCTCACATAAAATAAAAGCTCCAGTTTAATTCATTTAATTATTTTCATGTTTTTTTTTTATGAATTTTAAATAAAATTTGTGAATTCCATCTTGTTTGCAAACTATGTTTTATTTAGGGGAAAAAAAAATTATTTATATTTATTAAACGATAAGGGCTTGATTGTTTATGAAATAATTTGTTCAAATTGAGTTATTTTGGTTAACTATAGCTAAATTTTGAAAAAGGTGGTATGATTAGTTGGAGTAGAATTTTAAGAATGTATTAAAATAATATTTAAAATAAAATAATTAAAATTGATTTGATGGAAAAGTAAGAGATAAATTATTAAAAATGATTGGAAATGATATGTAGTTAAAGTTATGTGAGTGGATGAATAGTGAAATAAAGTTGATGTGATGTTTAAGAATGATTGGTTTGTATTATTTAATTATATGAATAATATTAAAGATAGCGAGGTTGAGTTAAAATTGAGTTAGATTTTGAGTTGAAATAAAAATGAATAAAATATTTTATAAACAATCACCCCCTTACCTACTCTCTGTTTTTTTT